TAGGGTTTAGGGTTTAGGAGCGACCCCTACTAGGGACCCTTGTAGCTTATGGGGGTTGATATGGGGACTACCTAGGGATATAGGGGTTACCTAATGACTATATAAGGGTTATATATGGTCATGCTATTAAGGGTCCTGATTAGGGGTCCCTCCTAAAGTCCCTAGACAGGCACGTGCTGGCCTCCGTTCGGGCCTGCTTTGAAGCACAGCCGGATCCCTTTCCGAAAAGCGCCTATGCGGATCTCTTGTCCCGCCTTTGCCCTGTCGACGGAAGCGCTGTGGAGCTGCCAGATGAATGGGTGCGCCAGTTAGGCGCAGTGATGATGGAAGTTCAGCTGCGAGAGTAAGCTGCGGACCCAGCTGTCCGTGTACAGAGCTGAAGTACCCTGCGTGCGCGGTTTAAAAGTGCGAAATGTTATCACATTGGTTCCCAAACTGGCACACCGGCCCTAAACCCTAAACCCTAAACCCAAGTCCAGGTCAACGGTCCGATGATTCTGCCCTCTTCGCCGCCCTCATACCTTCCAGACCTCAGTCGCAGCCTCGGGGTTTAGGGTTTAGACTTTAGGGTTTAGGGGTTTTCAGGGTTTGGGGGTCAGAGTTTAGGGTTTAGGGTTTCCGGAGTCAGACTTTAGGGTTTCAAAGCTATAGGGGCTAAAGTTCAGGGCTTAGGATTTCTGATAGGGCTCAGTTTTTGTTTGAGGGGTGATTCTTCCAAAGCCTTCCTTAAGTTGTACACCCTAAACCCTGAACCTTTAAACCCCTACACAGCAAACAATTGAATTCTGTCATGATCCCTGTTGTTTGGGGGCTCTCTACTGGGTTGCGGTTAAGGGAATTTAAGTTACCACATATATAGTAAATAATAAGGTTTCCTTATTATAATAATGACATCTAAATTAATTTAAGTTCCTTAGCAGCAACCCGGTATAGTCAGTCTCGAAGAGCGCACAAGGCTCCAAAAATAGCAGAAACTCTGCAGTTTTTTGGTTCTTAGTGTGGATGGAGGAAATCTTGCAACACCTGACATGTTTTATTCCGTGTACCCTTGCCCATTTTCTTTTCCATGTGATTCTTCATTATAGGGGGATAACATAGTACATCAACCAAGTGGAGGTCCTAAGTTCGGTAAGGTTTCCTCCATCCGCCGTAGCACAGAAGTCCGCGGGTTCAGATCGAGCTTTGGATTTACAAGTCTGGGGCCTGGTTTAGAGTTTAGGGTTTGGGGGTTTAGGGGGTTTAGGGCTTAGGCGGGCGTTTTAAATTTGAAGTTAGGCCCTCACACAAACTGTCATGAAACCCCACATAGCTTGCTGTTAAAGGGACAGTAGCCTACAAAGGACCCCTTCTCAGAAACCATGTTCTTCTTGCGGTGGTGGGGCTTGTTCAAGGTTCTGGTGCAGTTGGTGTCTGCGGTTTTGGGTTTCAGGTTGCAATCTCGGATGCGTGGCTTTCTAGGCTTGTCTTGTATAGTTACGGTGTTTAGCAGCTAGTGTTTGAGCTTCGAGGTTTGAGGGCTTCAGGGTCCCCTAAAACTAGATATTCCGGCCCACCATTCTAGATTGGTATCCTACTGCTGAACCCGAAACCCTAAACCCAAAATCCTAAACCCTAAACCCTAGACCCTAAACCTTAAATCCTAAACCCTAAACCCTAATTCTAAACCCAAAAACGGGTTTCGAGGCTGGCCCTCTGAAGGGGGTGCGGCAGAATCCTGATGAAAGCACTGGACCCAATCCTTATTAGGGTTTAGGGGTTAGGGTTTAGGGTTCCCCATACTCCGCAAGACGAACGCTCAAAGAGACCTTGTGGAGACTGACTACTGTCCTCTGAAATTGGGATCCGGGCTGTTCTCAAAACTATGGGTTCCTTCTGGTTATAGTTTATAGTACAGTATATCATATTTAGGGGTAGCAAAATGGAGCCTTAATTTTGGGAACCGCCCTAAACCCTAAA